ATTTAATTAAAATCAAATTTTAATTAAATACTGAATTAGAATCCAACTCTAATTTAATAATTATAGGGCGGGATAATTTAATTAAAATCAATTTTTAATTAAATATCAAATTAGAGTCAAACTCTAATTTCAAAATTTAAAGCGGTTGAATTTAATTAAAATGAAATTTTAATTAAATAACAAAATTAGAGTCCAACTCTAATTCTAAGATCTTAGAGCGAACATGTTTAATTAAAATCACAAATTAGAGCCTAACTCTAATCTTATATAAAATTTTAGGGCAACACAATTTAATTAAAATCAAATTTTAATTAAATGTCATATTAGAATCCAATTCTAATTTCAAAAATATAATCGAGTGAATAATTAATTAAAATCAAATTTAATTAAATATTAAATTAAAGTCAAACCCTAATTTAAATTTAGGATAATGCTCCTAAATAAAATAAAAATTCAATTGGGTCAAATTTAATATTTAAGTTAAAATCATATTTTAACGAAAATATAAAAGTCATCAATTCTAAATAAAATTTTAATTTGGATCAAAATAAAAACATGGGTCAAACCCAATTAAAATACAATTTTAAAACTATTTTAAAATCCAAATTCAAAACAATTTAAAAATTTGCAAATCGGCCCAATTTTCAAAATTACACAGAAGGCCGCACAATTACAAAATTTGCATGATTGGCCCCTCATTTAAAATTTACAATTGACCCCCTTTCCTATTAATTACAAGAGGCCCCCAAAATCTCACAAATTGCAAAGGCAGCTCCGTCCCCAAAATCTGTCACTCGTTTTTGAAAACCCTAAAATTCAATTTTTTTTTTTACTTGCGCCGCCGACACTTATCAACAAGTTGCCACCCCTTAGCTTCTGCGGCGGCTTCCTACCCCCGCAGCGAGCAACTGCTCCAAAATCAGTCGAGCGCCGCTACCACAGCGCGCTGTAGCGAGTCAGCCCTGCCAGCGGCAACAATTGTTGCTGGCTCCTCCGCCATTTTTTTATTTACATTATTAATTTTCCAATCCAAAATAATTTCTATTCAAAATCTGATTTTGAATATAAAAAATTATTTATTTTCTTAATCGCTAAAACAAGGAAAAACAATTAACATTTAATTGTTCCAACATGCAAAGCAATTTCTAACAAACACAAAGTAGGCTCTAATACCACTGTTGAGAATCTACTTAACATGCACAGCGAAAAATTAAAACAGATTTCGATTCCCACCAGGAATCTCTTTGTGTTTAGATAGAAATTGTGAAAAGATTATACCTTTTTCAGATCTGCAAACTTTTTTGTTATTCGTTCCAGCAATCTTGATTCGTCACCCACAACTGTCCAATTGTCCAGCCTCTAACGGTGATTCACATAGAGAACAAGATTGCAGCTACCAGAGTTTTCTCCTCTTGTGCTAGCAAGAATAATTATGAGAAAAACATATGGATTGAAAACTCTAGCCATGTATTTATATAAATCCAAACGGATCTGGCTTGGTCCGGTCCAATATTTAATTAATTCATTTAATTAAACCGATCCGTGAATTAATTAATCCAATTAATTAATTCGGGCCTATAAATTACCAAACCAATTAATTAATTTATCCAACGATTGTTGAATTAATTAATTGACAAATTACAATCTTTCAATTCTCTTTTGTGTGCGACCCATCAGGTTCCCGATCACTGTATCTAACGATGTGAAATATTATTTTGATCTAATCAAAATTGATAAATTAAAACGCCATTTTAATTTATCATCAGTTCACACTCGCTGTCCCAAATTAACATCTAACAATGTGTCAGGGCAATACATGTGACGAGAAATGTCATGTGGTATGACAAAATCAAACTCGTTCGTTTACCGTGAAACTATAATTCATTCATCAATATGATCCGATCAATTACGAGATATGGAAGTGTGTCAATCTCGATTATCGATCAAATCTTTCACTTTACTATTAAGTCAATATAACTGAAAAACTCCTTTTCGACTTATGAGTACACCTTGGCCAAGGATTTCGTTATCGACTTAATTGAATGAAACACAAATCATAATCTTTTACCATCTAAGAGTGACGAATCCTCTATTGGTCATTCATAACCTTCATATGATTATTGACATATCCGAACGATGCCGTATTAGTAGCCCTTGGCAGAGCAACATCCAACACCGTCAAAGCATGACCGTCCTCATATAAGGTACTATGATGACCTCAAGTCAAAAGGATCAATCCCACTATCGAACGTTGGAGATTAACCACTGACACTTAGATAGTTATCCATGTGGAATCTCTCGGCGGGTCTCCAATATTTTATTCTATAATAAAATATTCACGTGTTCATTTAAGTGTCACCACACTTTAGCTTGTATGAGCTACTTACTTCATAAGTAAAAAATGTCACACGTGATGATCTATCCATAATAACGATATCTGTATCTCATTATTACTTACGACCACGGACGATTTAAGATTCAATCAGATGCAATTTGTATCTCACAATCACAATTCCTTGTGATTAACAAATTACGAAGATTTGAATCTACGGACTCTATTATTTATTTAATTTTCTATTAATTAAATAATAGATCTGTCATTAAATTACATTAATTATATATCAAAAGTATTTATGTCCAAAGTTAATTGAATTTAGGGCATAATACTTACATAAATGAGACGGGGGGCACAACCAAATCTATCATGCTCAGCAGTATCGAAGCAATGTGGGAGTACCCTTCCTATTTCCGTACGTTACCCCGGACACAATTTGTACCTTTAAACCTTTATAAATTATCACCACACCCGTTCAAATTTTACACATTCAATAGCCCTTAAATTCATTCTCCTAACAAAAGATTTGGTTTTTCCTTCAACCTCTCATGTGGGGAGTGGGAAGATCAAAGAATTATGGAGAGTTCTACTACATATCGTGCACAGGGCGAGGCGTCTCGGCTGTTCCTCAGCTTCCCTCTCGGCACAGCCCTTCTCTTGATTATCATTTTTAGCTTGAGTGGCATATTCTCCTGCTGCTATCACTGGGAAAAACTCCGCTCCTTCCGGCGATCTTTCTCCAATCTCCGGGCTCATGATGATGATCAAGGCCATTCCAAGCCTAAAATTAATCACATGGTAACAATATTTACTGACTCTCCTTTTAAAAACATGCTGGAAATTTGAAATTTTTTTAGTTCTAAACAAGTTCTTTTTTCCAGAGTTCAATGGAGCAGCAGAAGGAGAGCTTGCCAGTTTTGATGCCTGGCGATAATTTTCCCAAGTTCATAGCATTACCATGTCCACATCGGCCTCCGTCACAAGATAGATTTATTGTTGAGATTCAAAAGCCGACTCGAAAAGCTGTGCCTTCGTTTTAATTCATAGAGAGTTAGAGACATTACATTACTACCATTTTATTAACATTTTTTACAGTCAATCAGATTCCCAGTTTACTAGAAACTGAAAATGTTTGCCGACGGGGCCAAAAAGTTTACCTTATATTGTTTTTCCCATGAATGTACATATATGAATAACAGTGAAAAATTCAAATGTGAATTTATTTATCTGGGAACGTCCTTTCAATGTAATATACCTTGAATTTTCTATCAGTATTAAAAAAGTAATATAAGATAAAAAAATAATAATAATAATAATAATATTAACCATAGAAAATTCTGTTAAAAATCTTGAGTTCTCTATCAGTATTTATTGAAAAAAATTAAAATTAAAATTAATATGGCAAGAATAAGCTTCCATTGACGATGCTAATGGTAATCATCAATGCCCGTCGCCACAAGCATTACCGATGGCATCTATGATGAATTTGCATCGTTAATAGCTATGGAAATACCGTGATGATCATCGATTTTATCAATGATTGTTAACGTGCTATTAGTGTTGATGTAGGACGGAAATATGGATAATAATGAAATGATCTAATTCGTAATACATGAATGGGTGTTTGCTCGAATTTCGTACGAACTAACGTGATAGTTATTTGGAATTCACCAATAAACGGAAAAACTAAAATATTTTATTAATCAGGAATCGAATAATGAAACTTAGTTATGGAAAAGTGTACAAAGTCTCTATATTTACAGGCAAGATTATTACATATTTCTACTAATACTAAAAAATTGAAATAAGGAAAATAATAAAATCTAATCTAATTACAAATCATATTCTAATCAATAAAGCAACTATAGTCCTAATTAAATAAAAAATAAAGTCACATCATAACTATACCTTAAAAAAATGAAACTAAACACAAATTTCCTAGTAGGAAATAATATTTATCTTATTTATTTCATTTTCTAATTGATTTTGAATTTTCTCTTTGTATTGTCCCGTATTAAGTGTGTATGAGATGCAACTTTTGCATATAAAGTCACTCAACTCTTACAATTATAGATTACGTTAAATGGAATTTATTTAAAATATTTCAAAAAATAGTGGGATAAAATGAAAATTTCTTGGTTCTAAATGTCTATCTTAATAAACATAAGCTTTTCATTTTTCATTTTTCTTTTTTAATCCAAAATCACAAATTTTCGACTGTGTCCAACCAGAAGCATCGTACCCCACTCCACCGTCGGTTGAACACCAAATTGAAGTGTCATTTATTTCCATCACCAAACATGCCTTTCGACACTTTATGTCAATATCAAGAGGCATTCTTTACATTGTCCCACACAATAACGACCCCTGACCTAACTTCTAAAATTTGTTGAAATGAATTTGCTATTTGTACACTAATTTTTGACACTTACATTGTTATCAAGTGTCAGCTGGATGAAAAATTTGTTTGAAATTTAAACTGTTCAACAAGATAATGCCACATGATAAAACGTAAAAAAAGTGTATACCATAGTGTACGTGTAGCAAGTTTCTTGTTGAAAATGCTTATTCTTGTACCTTGTTTGGTTTGGCTAAAATCTGAACTTAAGAGTATCTTTAATGGTGGTGTAGAATTAGGTGTATATTAGCATTTTCGAAATCACTGTTACATCTTCATTTATAATTCCGCTACAATTGAAAGCCGTACAAAATTGGGTGCAAGTTGGTCAGTAGTATTTAATTCTTGTAGATCTTACATCCTATATTTTTTACATTTTCTGTCAAAAAATGCAATTTGCACCTCTCCATTGGAGAGGTTTTCAACAACTTTTAAGATCTAAATCACAAGTTAGATCTAATTTAGAGCACCATTGGATATGCTCTTAGTAGATTTAAATGAAATTTGAAAAAAAAAAATGTGGTTGAAAAGTTGATAAAATTTATGTATCCTATGACAAAAGTATTATTAAAATTTATTATTGAATATTACTGAAATTTTTATCCCTTTTTTTAGCTAATTCAATCAGCAGCTGATTATTGTTGAAATCAATTTAATTTGCCCCTATTTGGCCCCCATTCTTTTCAAATTTAATGGTTGGAATAGTATTTTTTTTTTTTAAATGTGTAGTTGAAAAAGAATGAAAAGTTTCTTTATTTACGTGTAATATTATTTTATGGAAGATTGTGTGATTAAAAATAAGAGAGAGAAAAAGAATAAGAATGAGAATAGGAATAGGAATGGGGCCAAACAGGGGCGCTTTATGTCAGCGTTAGGAAAAGTTCGGCACATATCCCTACTTGTATATTAATAAAAAAAAAATAGTAATGTCGTTGTACCTGAGCGTTTACACGCCTGATTACCTCGCCCCACTGCCCCCTCACATGGGGCGAGGTCCCATGTCGGGGCCCACGTGTGAGATCCGACCCCCATGTGAGGAGGGCGGTGAGGCCAGGTAACCGGGCGTGTAAATGTCCGGGTAAGAATAGCGTGGTCCTAGAAAAAACCACTACAGCAAGAAAAACAACATGAAAACTTTGCCATCGTTTGCCCCTATTATTTGATATTATAATTTTTGGGATAATGTTTTTTGGAGAATGTGTGGTTGAAAAAAAAAGAAAAATTTTTATTTACGTGTAATATTATTTCATTAGAGAATGTATAATTGAAAAGAAGAGAGAGAAATGCATTACATATTTAATGGGGCTCAAACGGAGGCTAATGACCTAAACATAAATAAGAAATACCAAATACGAGCAAGTTTTAAACATAAGTTAGGAGGTACTACTAATGTCTGAAGAATTCTTTAAACTACAAATAGAGTTTTTAAAGATTGGATAATTTGCTACGATCCAATGATTTCAACTTATTGCTAGATGAATAAATTTTGTGACAACGTGCTGTATACGAAGAAGTGTGCTATACAAACAGGCTAAAAAATATGTTCAAAAACAGGGTGCACACGTATTAACACATTATTGGACTATTTGAAAAATAAAAACAACAAACATCCAATCATCTGCTACCAAATCTATCTGTTTTTTCCATGTCTTTGAGCCTAAACAAACATCATTTCTCCTATATGAATCCCATTTTAAAAATTAGGTCTATGGTCCAACTCAAGCAGGGTGATTTAGATAACGTTGGATACTTCAGACAAATGAGAAGAGGGATTAATCATCCATATTTCTAGTTGTGCCATCAATACTAGTGGTAATTTTCATAAAGAAGTTAGGTATAATGGTATATATCAAAAGACAGCACAATATTTTGCTATATGATATGAAAGATTATTGTGTTTCCTTGTATATATTATGTTTTTTTGCTCAAAATATAGAATTAATCTATTAGTACAATGTTTTTTGTACAACATTGTTGACAATGTCAATTGCGGTAAAAAAGTGTTGATTGAAAGTATTAATTGTTTTTAAAATTGTCCGATGGCAACATGTCACGTGGCATATTGTCAACAATGTTGTCAAAATCATTGTACATCAAGCATTGCTCCAAAATATAATGTAGAGTTTTGGTCTAAATCATAAATATAATGCACTCACCGTTTCATAGCAAAAAAAGCTGAGTAGGAGTCGACTAAGAATTCATATCAAAACTCTCTTCTTCCCAAAAATAAAAAAATAAAAAATGCTCTTATTTGGTACAGACTCTTTAAACTTTATTTATCTCAAATTTACTTTTAACCAAACATTCTTTCAAATAAAATAATTTGCATGTGAATCCATATTATTTAACAACGCATTTTTCAAAAAATCAATTATCATAAGATCTGATCCCAAAGAATCTTTCTCGAACAGAAAGGCCCTTTGCCCTTAATGACATACCTATGAATGAATCTCATGATCAATTCTAAGGAATCAGTTTTGCTACATTGTCAGACAGTTTTCACACATTCTTTAACAGAATTTCATGTGACATCCTGCTCACCTATTTGAACAATACAGCAATTTTTGCGCCAATGAAAACAAGTCAACACTCTTCTAGCAAAAGCGTTGGCAACACATTTTGGCAAAACAACTTAATTCCTCGAGAATTTGGGCAAGGTTTAACGAGGTAGGCATGGAATTGATGGGTTAGTTTTATGTCATATCAAATAGTGATTAAGGTTGTGATTGGAAAGGCAAAAATGGGGGATTAGGTTCGTACACAGTCACCATTTCATCATTATATTGGCCTTTTTAGCGAGTTAAATGACTAGGATTCCATCCAGACACATCATAAGCCCTGTTTAATACATATTTAAGTTAAAGTTAATAAATAATTTTAATCGTACATTTCACGAAATCTATAATTTTTATCATCTTTTCAACACTCATTTTATCATCTCTTATCAAAATCTGCTTAAAATATAATTTTTTGCAAAATCTAACAAAAGCTAAAGTTCGACAAAAGTGAATAATTTTGTCGTTCTCACGATGCTAAATAAGTAGCAAATTGGTGTAATTGCCAATATTGGATAATAATGGCTCGTATTGGATATGTTTATTTGATGGTATATTATCTTTTTAGGCCTTTAATTATTTGCAATGGTTTCTTGCTAGTAACATTGAAGATTCACTAAATATTGTGAAAATGTTATAAATAACACGTGCTCTCATCCATTTCTGTGATCAAGGACGGAGATAGGGGACAATCTTGGGCTTTAGGCCAGATCTCAGCTCAGCTGATAGCGGCCCAAACTAATTATCTTTTCTTCTTCTTCTTCTTCTTTTTTTTTTATTTTTTTTGGTTCCTTTCTTCACATGACTTCGCATGTAAGTGCCCCATAAATGTTGTATTTGTAATTGTCGAGTGCCTGTGTATTTTGCGTTATTCTATGGGTACACATAAGGGGGTCACATAAGGGCACTCGACGACCTTATGTACATAATTATGTACCCATAGAATAATCCATGTATTTTATTATTATTATTATTATTATTATTATTATTTGTTTCCAATATAACCGTGTCTTCACAACAGTAAATTCTCATATTTTTCTCCTCTTCTAAACACGAATCATACACAATCGACCCTAAAAGTCCACGGATTATATGAATATTCATCCCTGAACTTGAGGAGACCACTGTTATGCCCTTCGCATAGACTCGGAGAGTCGAAGCGCGTACAATGGAGCTGCTTCGAAATACCCGTATGTCCGAAGCTCAACATAACCGAAATGATGCAGATCGAGGCGTCGCTTCTGAAGTGGATGGGACAGGTCGAGGCGTAGCCTC